ATTCGTCGATGGTAAAAGTTGACTGTCGATGTGGGTTTAGGGTTTGAAATGAATGTTTTCAAAGTTTTGAGTTTATTTCAAAATTTGTGTTTTCTTTTTAATATATATAATTTTTATTTTTTAAAATTACCAGGTTGTGACACATGTCACTTAACGACGGAATTAACACCGTTGAAGGCCCAAACACCTAAATGGGTAATGTTTATAACCTTAGGCATCGAGATGAGACAAAAAATAGTTTATGTACCTATTTGGAAAAAGAGGTATAGTTTGGACACTTATTTTGGTATTAAGCCTTTAAATTTTCTCAAGTCGAATTAAGTTTATAAATTTCGAGTCGAACCAAGTTAAGTTGTACGAATTTATGTTTAAATTTAATTGTAGAGGTTTATAATATTATGATACTAATTGATTTTAATTTAAATGATTTTCTAGAATCGTATACAATATATGAGATATACATATATCATGCAAAATTAAGAGATATGATTCAAACTTAAAATTAAATCTACTAATTATTAAAAGTTGGAAAAGTTGGCCGTAAACTACTATTTTCGTCCACCGGGTGGCGCTTCACCCGAATCCAGGGGCGGGGCTATAGGGTGTACAACATGAGCAATCGAACAGGGCCCCGAAATAGCAAGGGCCCAAAAAATTAGATTTATTACAATAAAAATCTCATTTTTTTTTGTTTAACTCCACTTCTTTACGAGAAATGAGTTCATCTTTATGATCTCCCTATCCCACATCGTTAGTATTTGAGTTAGTAATATCACCAATCTCCTTATATATACTGCATTCAAACTTTACAATTTTTAGTAAGGAAATTTGCAAGGGCCCCTAAATAACAAGGGTCTTTTTTTAAGAATTTGCACAGAACCTCCAATGTCCTAGCCCCGGCCCTACCTGAATCTCCGCTTTTCGGCGCCGCATCGGTAACCGGAGATTCCACATCTTCTTCATCATCAACGGGGGAAGCCTCGGGTTCATCGCTAGAGGATTCATCATCCTTCTTGCCGCGGCTTCCCTTCTTTTTCATCCTTGTTATGATCTCTTCATTAATCTTTTTTGCCTGATCAGGACAAAGCTCCCCATCGGACGACGAAGTTATCTCGCGGGCAAACTTCCCTTTGGAGCTCTACTCGGTTTTCACGAAGATTTTCAATTTCTTACCATCAACTACTTCCATGAATAGCGTCGAGAGGAGTAATGCCAATAACAAAACGACGATCAAAACCCTCGCCATGTTGTTGATGGTTAAGGATGAGAATTGGACGGAATTTAAAGAGTTTCAACGGAGGTTTTTGCGGAGGATTCAATGGTTTGTTGATTCGGCCTGTTTCCTTATGGCCATATACATGTTTTCGTTTCGTGATGGTGCCACTGATCGGCAACATATTTTGGAAAACGTGTGTTGTATTTTTTTGTTCTCTCAGTCTCGGTTTTCAAACTTCGATTTAACTATTTTGAACTGACCAAATCATACATTTGATTTGAGTGGATGAATATCTCGACTAAAATTTTATGTTTACACCAATATTTAGTGTTTTGTATTTAGTATATATATTGTAAGCATTCACACTATACAAATTGAGGACGCTTTCTTTGGATGTCATATGAGGTACGGTGGTTCACCTAACTTAATCCGAAAATTATAAAATTTTCACATTATTCAAAAAAAAAATTCGCTTGACTCGAATTTAACCAATTTTTAAAATAAAATCCGAATTCAACATGATCTGACCTGAAATAATATATTTATTAAAAATATTATTTTTATTTAATAAAAATATGGTTTCATTGAAAGAAAATAATATATAGAGAGGTTATAATTATCCCTAAATATATAAGGTAAAATTATAATTTATTTTCGGGTTGGGTCATATATTTTTTACCTTAAACCCGAACTCGATCCAACCAGAACATAACCTTGAAAAAACTGACCCGACCCAACCTGAACTCGATTATTTTAAAATTATAAAGTATAATTTAACTATTAAAAGTTAAAATATTCTTCTAATTATAAAATGATCATCATGTTCATTATAAAGTATTGTTTTATTAAGTTCTTCAATTAAAAGTTATATCTTCTAATTATAAAATGGTCACATAACTATTCATTAAAAGTTAAAATATTCTTCGATTATAAAGTATTGTTTTATTAAGTTCTTCAACTATTAAAAGTTATAAAATAGTTTTCTAATTATAAAGTGTTGTTTTGTTAGTTATCTCAACCATTAAAAGTTATAAAATGATCACCCGACTATTCATGATGCTCCAAACTCGTCATTTTTCGTTAAAAATTAACTATATTCTGAGTAAACATTAACTTGTTGATTGTGATATGATAAAATACGATAACAAATTTTCAAATTGATTATCATATTTTAGTTCTCATGTTAACATCCAACTTAGACAATTGTCAGTTTTTTAAAGAAAAAAGATGAGTTTAGAACATAATGAATAGTCGTGTGACAATTTATAACTTTTAATGGTCCAAAGACTCAACAAAGCATCATTATATAGTCAGAAGACTATTTTATAACTTTTAATAATCAAAAGATTTAATAAAACAATATTCTATAATCGGAGGATCATTTGTGTACTTTATCCTTTGTTTTAATAAAAAAAATTAAGGCAAAAAGGTACAAGAGGTCCTGAACTTTAAAAAAACCCAATGTGACCCTTATCCTATTTTTTGGATCAATGTAGCCCTCCAACTCTAAAAAAACTCAGTGTGACCCTTTAATCAAAGTTTGCCGTCATTGACAAACAATTCATTAATTTCCGCTATTATAAATTGGGTAAAATATATTATTCATCACTCAACTATTTTCTTGTCTTCTATTTTGGTCACTAAACTCTAAATTTTTTCAATTTCAGAGACTTTAGAAACTTCAGGGACTAAGTATGTAGTTAACTCATTTTATTTTAAGGGTAAACTATACAAATGGTCACTTTTGTTTCAAATGATAAATTACTAATCATGGGTCCTTTTGTAAACTCAAAATAATTCAGGGATAAAAACCAATTTACCCCTTTTTCCATGTTTTCTTCTCCAACCCCCGAAAGGTTCAAGCCTGTAATTTCCATGGTGTTCTCATCAAATAAAATACTAATCACCACCTCGCCCAATTTATTACAAGTCGCCCCCATCACCATCACCTCCTCCATGTACAGAAACACAGCTTAGTTCCCCCCCCCCTAAGTTATTGTTTCATATCAGAAAACAATACCACGTTTCTATTGCTTATTTGTTGTGGGTTCTCAATGTCTTTTAACGTTATGTTTGGAAAAGTAAGAACCATGATCTCATCTGAACGTAATAAATTGAATATAAAGACTGTTTTGATTGTGAACTTGCAAACCAGACCTTTTTTATTTTAAACACAAAACCCACCACATTTATCTCCTCTTACCCTCACCACGGCAAAACCGCCTTCATCGACGCCACTACCGTAAAATCCGGTGTAATTACAAACATCGGACCCGACCCAATAGCGGGTGAGATTGGAAGGGTCGAAGAGGATAGCTTGTTTCCATGCTTGTAAAACTATGTAAGCATTTCTGAGGCGGGTTTTCAAAGACAAGTGATAGGTCGACAGTGATGTTTTCGCCTCGCTCACCCAACTCATCTCTGTAATATAGAAGCTGACGTTGCTTGATGTACAACGCTTCTTGGTCGATGAGGCGACCGCCATGGCTGGAAATGGAAAGGTGGTGCTTACAGGTAGGGTTGTAAATGAGACGAGATATATCGTGAGTACTCGAGATCGACTCGATAAATACTCGGATCGACTGGACTTGACTTGAGCTCGACTCGAGTTCTTAACGAGCCGAAACGAGTTACTTAATATTCGACTCGAAAATCTCGTGAGCAGCTCGAAAATATAATATATTAATATTTTATTTTTTTAAATAAATATTTAATAATATTAACATTATGTATTGATTTTTTTAAATATAGTACGATTTTCATGTATTTAAAGTTAAAGTTTGAGTTTGAGACTTTAATCGAGTTAAGTTAATAATTTTTTTTCATTTCGAGCCTATTTAATCTGCTCACAAGCTTCAATTCAGGATTTCGAGTTTGAAAATTTTAAGCTCACGAGTTTTCGAGTCGAGTTTCATTTCAGAGTTTTCGAGTCGAGTCGAGCTCAACAATACTCGAGTTCGACTCGACTTGTTTACACCCCTACTCACAGGAAGAGAAGCCGATGAAGAACGAAATAAGTACAAGTGTTAGATTGCGAAAAGAATAGAGCTTGGTGTTCATCTCACATACACATCTGATTTAACAAATGCCACTATTCTTTTTCTCTTGCAAAAGCAATAATGCTTTGGGGGTTTCGATTTGGAGGATCTGAAGAAGAAAATAGGAATATAAAATCTTTTAACAAATGCCACTATTCTTTTTCTCTTGCAAAAACAATAATGCTTTGGGGGTTTTGATTTGGAGAAGATCTGAAGAAGAAAATGAGAATATAATAGTGACTAAAATAAAATAAAAAATAGTTAAATGATGAATGCTGTAATTTACTTATTTTTTAATAGCATGACCAAATCCAATCAGCACCCGTCAGCTTTGAACAGAATGAGCTGGACAACTTGACGTGCCAAGTCAATCGAAACTAACAGTTTTTTTAGTTGAAAAATATTTATCAAAAGATCACATTAAAATTTTTCTTCAGAGTTGAAGGGTTATATTGATAAAAAAAAAAAGATGAGGGCTATATTGATTTTTTTAAAGTTTGGGGACCTTGGATTTTTTTTTTGCCAAAAATTAAAGATTCGAGGATTAAAATAACAAAAGCTTTAAAGAATTTTCTATTTTATTTTTTAAAATGGAGGGAGAAATTCGTCATTGTGTTGGTGGGGGTGCATGGGTGGGTGGGGCAATTTACCAAAAAAACAATATGCCGCACATGGTTAATTGGCTGTAGATAGACATCGGCACATGATTCTATTTCTATCTAGGAAAAAGAAAAGTAAAACTTGATTGAAAATGTCTATTTGCGAGTTACCACTTTCCAGAAAGATTATATATATTCGAGGAAAGGAAACCGCGTGTAAGTATCGCTTTTGATTACTGATTTGGTTAAGTTAACCGCCTCCATAAGTGGGTGCAGTTGTAATCGGTGTCGATTGGCCGATTTCGAACTATGGTGGAACAAGGGGAGGAGAGGCATGCGGCGGCGGCGGCTGGAACTGCGTATCGGAAGTTCAATGGAAAAGATGAATTTTCGTCCAACATGTTTCACGGGATATTAGCTATTGCGCTGTGGATGGGGTCTTTGCAATTCAACTTCTTTTTGCTTCTTTTCTCCTTTCTCTTCATTCCTTTTTCCAAATTCCTCATGTTTGTCCTCTTTTCTTTTTTCCTTTTTCCCATTCAAAAGCTTACTTTATCTTTTATTGGAAAACAAGGAATTTAAATGGCATAAATTCATGTGTTTTGTTTGATTCAATCTTCACAGGGTGGTTGGATTTCTGCTGGTGTTCATGGTTCTTCCTGCCGACCCTCATAGTAAATTTGGCCGGCGCCTGGCTAGGTATCTTTTTTATTTCTAGTAGATCAAATGAATATTGTTCACAGTTTATTTTTTTGATTTGAACGAAGAGTCGTATCAGATGAGGTAATGAAACTAAAAGAAGTTAACCGAGACAAACTTGTTTATAGTAATAATAATAATAATCTGAATGAACAGGTATATATCTAAGCATCTCTGCAGTTATTTTCCCATCACTCTCCATGTTGAGGACATCCATGCCTTCAATTCTGATCGTGCTTATGGTTTGTTTCATTCGCTTTTTCCTTTAGCTTATTCATGTCTTGCTTTATTCTCTGCCATGTATTTGCCTTATATGAATCTTGAAAGTGCTTGTGTTTTTCTGTTCTTTTACTTCTTAGCTTTATTTGAGTTCCCCACGCAGAGTTAATCAATAATTGAAGCACCATATGTTGAGAAACCAATAGATCTTAGCTTGCTAATGTTGCAGTTTTTGGTTACGAGCCACATTCGGTTTTTCCAATCGGAGTCGTCACACTCTCTGAACTCACTGGTTTTATGCCTCTGCCGAAAATGAAAACCCTTGCTAGCAGCGCTGTAAGGCTTTTCGAGTACATGAACTCTCGTATGCTACACATTACATGCTTCATGAATGAAGTTTCTTTTAGCTTTTAACGTGTAATGGATGAACGATTAGGGATTCAATACCCCGTTTTTGAGGCATATATGGACATGGTTGGGTGTCGCACCAGCGTCAAGGAAGAAATTCTGTTCCCTGTTGGAAGCTGGTTATAGTTGTATTGTGGTGCCTGGTGGAGTGCAGGAGATGGCTCACTTGGAGCATGGTTATGAGGTTTCATTCTTCTCACTCCCTTATAAGGGTTTCTTGTGCTCTTTCTTTGTGTATTTATGTTGGCAGGTACTTGACAATCTCTTGCCTTACAGATCGCCTTCCTTAACGCACGGAAAGGATTTGTTCGACTAGCCATCGAAACGGGGTGTCCACTGGTCCCGGTTTTTTGTTTTGGTCAGGTATCCATACTTCAAAGTTGATCAATCTTAGCATTTATACATGTAATTTCTTCATTTATAGTATGCATTCTTCCTGAAAATACTCGTTCTAATCCGAAAAAACTAGCTGCTATAGGATAGACTTGCAACTACTGCAGGGTCTTATATTCTTGTAGTTGTCTTTCTAACAACTTCCACATTCTATATCAACTGAATCAATTTTCTTGCTTCTTACTTGTGCTTCAGTCATATGTCTATGACTGGTGGAAACCAGGTGGGAAGCTCTACCTTCAACTTTCCCGAGCTCTCAAGTTCGCTCCGATCTTATTTTGGGGAATTTTCGGGTACGTATACAATATCTCTATTTTAATCCCAATTAGGACACTTTTTGTTCTTCTGTTGAACATTAATTTAGTTGATTTTTGCGGTGTTCTGTTTTCATTGATTAAAAAGCAGTCGTTATACATCTGCAGCTGTTTGAAATCCATTAACTTTTCTTTGGCAGAACTTATTTGCCCTATCAACGTCCCATGCATGTGGTGGTGGGCAAACCGATCGAGTTTAAGAGGGATCCGAAACCTTCCGCCGAAGAGGTATTGTGACTCATCTCTTGTTCGCACTGACGGCGTCTTTCTATGTTAAACTAAAATCCTCTGCAACATATATATATGTCTTCAGCAGAATCGTACCCGTATCCATCGAACGATGACACCTAAACCGATAATTTGTTTTGCAGGTCCAGGAAGTTCATGACCAATTTGTTAAAGCACTCCAAGATCTGTTTGAGAGACACAAAGCTGGGGTCGGATATGCTGATCTTCAATTAAGGATCCTTTGATTTGAACCAAGTTCATCGGTTCCTTTTAGCGAATCATGTAGGGTTATTTGCAATATAATTTAATACAAATAATTTTGTGGTACCAACATTATCCCATTAGGGTAAATGAACCAGTTCCATGTTATATTTTTATAAAAATAAGCCTTAATGCATACGGAGTACATTTTGCTTCAACATTATCCTTCTCATTAGGTGAAGCCCTTTAAAAAGTTTTCCTTGAACTCCTCCTGTCCAGGGGAAAGTGGCTCTTCTACTTCTTTAGGGCAAGTGCTACATTAATGCATGTCGAAGCCTCGTTGATTGGACTGGAAGCGCTTTCCATATTTTTGAAGGCTTCTTTGATCTGTGCCCTGATATGTTTTACCTGATCAGGGGAAAGTTCATCAATGGCAGTATCAGAATTACCTTCTTCCGGTGCTGCCGCCGCCGCCGTCAGGTACTCGGTGAAGCCCTTCAAAAAGTTCCCTGTGAACACCTTTTCCTGTCCAGGGGGAAGCGCTTCACTCTCGCCCATCGATCGCTTCTTGTTAACTTCGGCCTAATGAACCAAATACACATTGACCGCCATTCCAACGCCTAGATAAGACAATTGTTCCTGTTCTGGGGTAAACGACGAAGCGTCGTCGATGACGAAACTTTCCTTGTGTTGCAAGGCTTCTTTGACCTCTAAACCAACGTGTTTTACCTGATCAGGGGAAAGTTCGTCGTCAGCCAAATCTTCTGCGAAACTTGATTCATGTTTGACGAAGTCTTGCCCTAGTTAGTCATTTTAAAGTGCATTGCGCGTTACCTAAAGATATTCAGACTGATTCTATTACTCGATACTAGTATCATTTACTAAAGTGACTCGAGTGTCTTGATCGTTTTCCAAGTGTACAAACAAGGTTAGTTTTATTTAATCCTAGCAATTATTATTTGTATTATTCTAATATAAATTACTGTTATCATTTTGAGTTTTATTTGTTGTTAATCTGAGTATATGGGATACCTCGAGTCTAATCCGTTAATCATTGGATTAATTATCCAAAAATAGTCTTGGGTATCGATATTGACCCTTCAGTATCAATACTAAACCTTTGGTATTTATATCCACATGCTGGTATCGATACCCCCATACTGATGTAAGCTATTTGGGTAGAGTAGTATCGATACTCTAGGTTGAGTATCGATTCTTTGGTGTTGGGGTATCGATACTTGCCTGAGTATCGATATCAAATTTCGGTTCGATGTTTTAAAAAATACCCCATTATCGATATCCCTATGAGGAGTATCGATAGTCCTACCCTGGTATTGATACTCTATGAATGAGTATCGATACTATCCCTTTAAAATTACCTAATTTTGTCCTGAAAAATGAACAATATTGATATCATCGCTACGAAGTGTCCTACTTTGTCTCGGAAACAACTATCTAGCTACCCTAAAGGTTTCAAGTCCCCAATTAATGTTTAAGTGTTTTATTTAATATTAGGAGTCATTAAGAAAGCTTTGAAACAAGCTATTACACTAAGACATAAAATTTACCATGAAATTGCTTAACTTGCTTCAAATTTAATCTCTCAAACTAGACTGTATTTTTAATGATTCACAAATGATATGAAGACGTTGTAAATGTGTTACCTTGATTTATTGGTTACTAAAAACGTCCTCAAGTCACTCAAGAGATAATTTTTCTTTTCCCCTTGCTCTTGAGCTTTCTCCCACTCCTTGCACTGATCAAAGGTAAAAAAATGAGTTACTAACTCAATTATGTGGTTGGATTAAAGTTAAAAACACTTATTATAACTTGAATCCACTGAAAACGAGCTAAAACTCATAAATTCTATTAAACTCTCTAAAACCTATTTTTGGAAATTAAGTCAAAAGCTTGAGAAATGTAACTTAGATTGAAGCTTGAAAGATGAGGATCACTATTCTTACCTTGGTTAACCAAACTTACACTTGAAATCTTTAAAATCTCCGCTTTAGAAAGGAAGAAGAGGAAGAGTATTTGGTGAGGAATAAGGGGGAATGGTTCACGTAAAACATATAGTAGGAGGGGGGTTTCAGCTTTTGAAATAAGTAACGGATAAATTTCAATTTTAGTCCCTCTTCTCTTATCTCAAATTAAAATCATCCCCAATGCCTCTTGGGCCCAGTTCAAGCCCATCTTCAACTTAATTTGATCCAGACTATAACAATAGGTCTTTTGGTCTCTAAATATGAGCCTCTGGTTTACTCGAATTACTAACCCGGGATTCAGGACGTTACATAATAAATAGAATATTATAATATTTATTATAGTGGAGTGGACAATATATAAATATTTATATTTAGTACTTTTATCACGTCAAGGCTATTAATTAAGATTTTAATTTTTAGTTAAAAATTCATAATCATTTTATAATTTTTAATAAATTTAATTATCGATTTAAATATTTTAAACTCAAGAAAGTCAACCATAATTTGTGACTATTAGGGTAATTTACACTAAAAATATAAATTCAGTTATAATATTTTGATAGGATCCTTTGTATAATTTGATGTCGAGTTTCAAAAGTTTGACAATATCTGTAACTAGGCCTGTAACGAACATGAATGGGGTATGTTTATGTTCGTTCGTTTAATTTTAACCAAACAAATGAATGAATACGAACAATTAAATGAACAAAATTTATTGTTCATGTTCGTTCATTAAGAAATTTAGTTGTTCGTATTTGTTCATGTTTATTCGTTAAAATAATAAACGAACACGTTAGAAACGTTGGTGAGCACTCAATAAACTATATAATTCGTATGATATTATTGATACGAATCAAAATACTTTGCTAGTTTACAAACTCCACAAACAAAGGTTTGCTAAGCTCTCTCCCTTTTATCTCTAATTTTTCCACTCACATTCATACTACTAAATTAATAACCAAATACAAGTATATATGGTAAACACTAAACCTCCTCATGTAAGCTCCGGACGCTACTATTCTGCCGCCTTGAATTTCCAACTTTGCTTGCCGTGATTTGTTAAAACTTCTATACTTTAATATGTTTTCAGACTTTGCTGCCGCTGACATTTTTGACACCTTAAGCTACTGCCAAATCAACGAACCTCAGGCCGAACAGTTCACAAACGGTTCGCTCAACATTGGGTTAGTTTACAGACTTACCAGCAACAAGAAAATCTAATTAACTTTAATTTTAAATATATAAAACTCTTTGAAGGCAACCTAATCAATTACATGCTATAATTTTAAATAAATAAAAACAAATCTCATTGTATATTTGAATTCAATTTTAGTTGTTAATTAAATTGTCAATTTGTTGGAATTTATGACACAACAAATGGTTTTCTCTTGGAGCATGTTTAGTAGCGATTTATTTTTTATCTCACCATCTCCTGATAAAGGAACATTACAGTTATATAATGAAGAAAATTCTTTATCATCCTTTTTACTATCATCTGATGAAGGGCTATCACCACCTTCTATTAAAGAAAATTCTCTAGTACCATAAGGGGAAGGACAATCATCTCTAATGAAGAAAATTATTTACCATCATCTCCCTTATTTTTGATAAAAAAAATATTGCGAGAATTTTTCTCTCCCTTATTCGTGTATGGTCATTTTGAAGCAGACCGGTCAACATGCCCCAAATTTTACGTAAAAATCTCCTTAGAAGTTATTAAATGTCACCAATTTGCATCTTTAAACATCGTTCGTGATAAACTCTTGTTCTTTTGAATTAGACTTTCAAACAAAATATGACAAAGATTACTTTGATTATCTTATTGTCGGTTGTCATGGTTTTTTCACCGAAATTCATTGTAGGGCATGAAGAAAAAGACGAGATCAGCCCTGCAGCGGATGCTGATCCAGATGGGACAACTGCATCAGCGGATGGTGAAGAAATTTCCTCTGATCAACTAAACAATATTGGTTCTGATATCAAAGAAGCATTCCAAAAGATTGAAAATACTACCAACGACGAGGCACTTTCCCCTGAACAAGAAGAGAATCTTGTTGAAGACTTTTTAAATGAACTTGCTCCTGGTGAGTCTCCTTTATCGAATGATGGAGAAGAATCTTCTTCATCGGATGGTGCTGATGCCCCTTTATCAGAGGGTGCTGACACTTCTTCATCGGAGGATTATAAAGGATCTTCTTCACCAGAGGGGAGTGAAGGTCCTTCATCAGAGAATGGTAAAGAATCCTCTTCATCAGAGAGTAGTGATACTCCATCCGGAGATAGCGAAGAACGTGCTCCTTCCCCGGCCGACAAAATATAATTTGCGCCTAAACATGCACCCTAATGACATTAAGAAATGTATGTATAAGTATATCTAAAGTTTTTTTTTTTTTTACTTATAGCGTGTAATTGATTCGGTGTTCCAGAAAGAAAACACCTGCAATCAATAGAGGAACAATACAACAAAGTTCTTATGAAACATCTGGTCAACAAAGTTCAGCCTTTCAAAAAAGAAAGTGGATAAATCGCTCCCTTGGTCCTTCAAATTTTGGTCACAACTTTAAAACACCCCTTTTTATCTTAATTGGGCTTAAACCAAGCCCAATTCAACCCCCACTTGGGCTAAATTTTCCACAAGGATAATGGGAAATCCTAAACACTCTCGGTTTAACCCGAGATTCGAAGCGCTATAATTGAAGTTGGAATCCTAAATCTTTTGTAAGAGGAGTTTATTTTAGAGCAGTCTGAAGTGATTATAATGCAATATATGTTCAGAATTTTCCCAGTCTATTGATAATACATACTCGTGAGCGAAGTTGTTTGAGGTCAGATCCTCTAATAAGAACAATATTTCTTTTTATCAATGAAATCACTTAAGCATTTCAATAAACTTTCAAAATTTGATCAACCAGTTATAAGCATTGTGAGATAGAAGGGCAAGATTTGGAAAGAAATATGGGTGATATTTTGCTATATCGGATCAAATTGTGATTTGATTAATTAAAATAATTTTAATAATAAAAATTTGGGTAAATTATGTATTCAATACCTAAATTATCAATTTTGGTTCATTTTAGTACTTAGACTTTTAATTTTTTTTTAAAAAATCATATCTAAGGTTTAATTTTTATTTCATTTTAGTACCCGCCGTTAAAAACTTAACGTGTTTAGTACCTAGACTCTCATTTTTGGTCCGTTTTAATACCTAAAC